ATTATATATATATATATATATATATATATATATATATATATATATATATATATATATATATATATATATATATATATATATTTATTTCACCCTATTTAATTATTAAGAATTCGTTTTAATTTAGTTTTTTTTAAAATATCTAATATATTTTTAAATTTTAATTTTTTGATTTTATATCTAAATAAAAATTAAATGTTCGACACCATTTAATATTCATTTTAGGATTCTACTTTTTATGTAAAAAAAAAAATTAAACTCAAAATTATAATTTAAATTATCATTTAAACAATATTAAAATTTATAAAAAATTAAAAGAATTGTTATATATTTTTTAAAATTTAGGGCACTAAAATTTTAATTTAAGTTCAAGATTTTTATAATGAAACTCTCCATTATAATTTTATTTTTTAATTATATTTTAAAGAAATGTTTAAAATTTAAAATAAAGAAAATAAAATATTCTCCCAGATAAGAGAACCCATTTACTTGAACATGAAGAAATCTCCAGCAATAATTAGAATAAAATAAAGGGTAGTTTTTCTAATTCATATTTTAATAAATTATAATAATATAAATAAATAAATAAAACCTAATATTTCATTTAAAAAATTGAAAAAAAAAATTAGCATTACCTGATAGAAGATGGATAAACACAAGATCCATAACCTGCACAAAACAAACAATGTCACATAATTAAACCTAAAGTTTAACCATATATTAATCAAAATAAACATTATTATATATATATATATATATATATTATTTTTTTTTTTTGTTAGAATTAAAAAAAATATAATTTCCATAAAAAATAAAAAAAAGAAATGGAAGGGGACGGACTGGGGTTGGAGTGGGCGATGGTGGCGGAGCCGGCGAAGTTACAGGAGCCAGGAGCCATGGCCTTGCGCTGGAAGAAGCTGTTGAAGGCGTATGAGGCGTGGGCCTGGATGGTGTTGGGGAGGAAGCACAGGCCGTTCGGCAGAATAGGAGTGCAATCGGCGCCGGTGGCGCAGGCATAGTTCAGCGCCGTCTGTAGCGCCTCGTCGCTGACGTCGCTGCGAGCCACGCACCAATACTCGCTGGAAATGGCGGAGGTGGTGGTGGTGGTGGCTCCGATGAGAAGGAGGAGGAAGGAGTGGGAGAGAAAAAGCGTGGCCATTGGGGAAGAGGGCAGAAAGAGGGGTTCGGGACACAATGTCTTCTTGGAGGAAAGACAAGACACTGACAACTGTACTTTCATCCTTTTTCAATTGTTGTCGATATCCTGTCACGGTCCTACATTTTTTACTGTGCGGTGTCGTGATTTTGACACGCTCACAACTAGCCTTAAGGAGAATTAAACTCCATCTATATTTTTCGCTCCGTCTTTGTGGTTTCGTCAAACCTTAAACGAGGTTTGTCTTCACCAATCGAATATCGCTTGTGCGGAATCTAAGCTTGTTCAACCACACACACCACCTGCGCGCGCATGTTCAATCGTCTGTGACACATTCGACTTGCTTCTACACCAAGCCAAGTCATTGGGCTCGACCTTGCCTCTGTTCGGGCCAAGGTCTTTCAATGCAACGTCGTATCTCATCTTGTTGTCTCGATCCCCATCTCGAGTCTTGAAATCTCATCAGTCATCACAACTCGTTCGATCATGCCATCGAGAACGAGCCCGCGTGTCGCTCATCTCATCGGGACATCCCGAACATCAGGGAATCAAATCCTTGTCAATTCTCTGTGTAGGATCTACGCCCCGATCCTCACTAAAATAATATAGAAAATTGCTGGGATGGGACGGGGAAGGCTTCCCAGTGGACATCTCTACTCTAAGCTAGGTCCTCTGAATGTAATATTGCATCTCATCTAGTCATCATGATTCCCAACAACATGGCATGCATTTCATGATGTCAGTCCAAGTTTTAAAATGTTAGTGACATCTGGTGGTCACTCATACATGCTTATCGAGCATCAACTCATGAATCAACTTTATCGTCCGAGTATCTCGGACATCCATATATTTAGGTAAGGCACCTAATATAGTTGTCTTATAATAGCCTACACCATGAAAATTTTAAATAAAACAAAACCAAAAAAAACGGTTTTCATCCTTTTGCATGGGTCTTAAAATGTTAGATAGTAAAAAGACTTTTACGGTCAAAATTTTAACTAATTAACCAAAAGTAATTATTTTTATATGCACTAATTTCAAAGGAAATTTAAGTCTAACAAAAAAATAAATTCAACAAATGATCATTAAATAAATTTCACTGAAACTCATAAATTTGAATTTCCTTCGAATTTAGTGACGTTTAAAATAAAACTGTAATATTTATTTAAATTTAAATTCTATGTAAAAAAAAAAAAAATACAAGATTAGCCGAAATATTCTCTGAACCAAATATAAATAGGCGTGGTATAGTCTCGGGTTCCTCTGTTCTTCTATGCCCGCGGTTGACTCTCTATTGTAGAGATAGTTTCTCTGGCTGCCAATCTCTATCAGTTTCATAAATTTTATCAGCCACTTCCAACTTCAACAAATGACTCATATCCTTCTCAATCTTTAATTCCTCGTTTTCTGATGCTGTTTTCTTGTTTTTTGAGTTCGGATCTCTACGAATTGAGGATTTTTTGGTGTTTCGATTAATTGATTTTGGAGATTTTTCTTCGTTCAAGTTTGTTTGCCTTGACTCAGATCTCTACGCGGAAATCAGAGGGAGAAGGACCGAGAGAGGGCTCAGGCTCGTAACGCTGGCAAGGGCAAATCTAAGGATGATGGTTTGACCCACGAGCAGCGCCGTGAAAGGTTCGTTTATCTTATTTCTTCCAGTTTCATTATTATGTGTTTGTTTGTTTGATTGATTGATTGATTGATTTTTCTTCTTCTTATGGTTAGGGATGCGAAGGCTCTACAGGAGAAGGCGGCGAAGAAGGCGGCTCAGGCATCAGGGGGAGATAATTCGTCCGGAGGTAAAAGTAGCAATAAAAAGTAAATCGCCGTGAACTATGTCGATTTTTAACTTTGTTCTTGTTGGAACGCTGAGATCTCGTGGATTTCTTAAGACTGTTTGATATTGGGGAAACAACCTCTGTATGTCTAAATGATGTGAATGGATATGTATTATGCTGTCAACGTTAATTGGAGAAGCTCTCTTGATATGTTGTGTTGAGCTGATTATGTTGTTAATGCTTGATTTCCTGGAGATTGGATCTAGATGAAAAGTTTCTCAATTATGATCTGATCTAACACAGATCTTCATGAACAAAAGAAATGAAATCGTATGGTTCTATCATTTGACTTCTTTAGTTACAATTTTCATTAGAATGATAAATCCTTTTGTTCCTTTGCATTAACACAAGACAAAATTACAAAAGGAGGTTTCAATTGTTAATAATTTAGTTGTTGACGCCTAGAGAGAGGCATTGAAATGGGCCAGATCCCACGTCTCTCCCCTCTTGTTCCTTTCCAACTGTGTGTCCAGAATATAGCCGACAAAATGACTAGCCATTTTACCATACTTCAGGTTCTAAATCCTATGCCACAATGTTTCAGCCTCTAAAGGGGTACCTTCACAATTCATTGGTCGAAACGTACAAAATTCTCGTGCGATAAAATTCCTATGCTCAACTTGCAACTCACATCTTTTTGGAAATGACCTCCCACTAAATCAAATGAGAACCACCCCATTCATCTTCAGGTACTCTTTGCCAACAAAAAACCTCTCATAATATGCTCCAACTTGTGGAAAACTGAGGATCAAATCCTGAAGAAATGAATAAACTGAATTAGAATCCCATCAAAGAAACATTGGATCAAAAAGAGTGCCCCTGTAACAAAAAACCTAGAAAAAAATGTCTTGTCTTAGTAAATAAATGTTGTTCAACCCATTGCATCTTGGAACAAATAAGATGTCAGTCCTCAGATTATGACTGAATGGAAGGCCTAGATATAGACTTAGGCAGGCAAGAGATCTCACACCCTACCAAAGAAGGCCACCTGGCTAGTTTACCTTGACCACATACTTCCCCAACTACATTACAGTTTTGTGTGTTGGTTTAAAAACCTGAAATGAATTCAAAGACCTGTAAGATATGTTTGAGATCAAAAAAGGCAATCCTCCATTAAGCTGAAGAAGATAGCCTCATTAGCAATGTGAAGATGGGTAGCATGAACACTTTCTTTTCCTCCATAGAATATCTTCTACGTCTTATACCCTAGGAAACAATCTTGCCAAGGACAAATATTAACAACCAAAAGGTGAAGGAATGGATATAAAGTATCCTCAACCAAATGTTCCTGGAAGCAAACTTCGCCTTTAGGTTTACCAAGGACAAGAAAAGAGAAATTCATCAATCTTGATCAAAATTCCTTACATAGATTATCCACTTGGAACCAAAACCCTTTTTCCTCAATCTTATGAAAAAAAACTTGGGGAACGGTGCTAGGCAAGAACATCCACGATTACTTGAATAAGCAATCTAGTTACATTTACAATGATATTCATCTAAAGATATACATAACAGCATTAACAGATACTAACCTTCTGGTGTTCTGTTTGAAAGTCATACTTTATCTCCCTGTCTCTGTTCATCTTGGAATTGTTTAGAAAGGAATGTAGAATTAGAGTCCTAACTTTACTTTCAGCTTCAGATGTGCCGGGAAAGTATTTTTTCCTCACGAATCTTTCTTCTCATTCTTTGTCTATATCATTGTTTTTCAAACACCATTATGAAGGAAAGGAATGTAGAATTAGAGTCCTACCTTTACTTTCAGCTTCAGATGTGCCGGGAAAGTATTTTTTCCTCGCGAATCTTTCTTCTCATTCTTTGTCTGTATCATTGTTTTTCAAACACCATTATGAAGGAAAGGAATGTAGAATTAGAGTCCTACCCTTACTTTCAGCTTCTGATGTGCCGGGAAAGTAGCATGTAGCAAGTTTTGGCTGGTAGTAACCCAATTAAAAAGGGAATGGGAGGAGATAGCATTGTCTAATGAACGACGTAATAGTTTTCCCAACCGAAACGGTACCAAAGTGTTAACAGTGTCAAGGTGGGTGAAGTCATAGGCTACTAGTGTCTTCAATCCTATGTCAGTGTCTTCATTGCCAACACTTCTTAAATGCAATGTTTGGATGGTTATGCATCCATGTACGGTTTATGTGCTATTATGTAGCAACTTCTAGGATGTGCTTATGGGCTAAAGTTCTATTAGTCATCATTATTGGCAGTGGTTGGGTCAATTTAAACTGTTTTATTTTGGATTAGGGTCCTTTTTCTGTAGTTAGATTCAGACTTCTTTGTTCAAACTTGTTCTTTTGTATGCTCTTGACTCTTGAGCGTGGTTATCTAAAAAACTGTACCATCATGTGTCAAGCTTTAACAGACAGCCATGAAGTTAAGAAGTGAGTGTCTGGATAAAATATCTGCTTACACTGAAGGAGATGCTTGTGGCAAGCCCTTAGAGAATATATGCCTGACATAGGAAAAGGGTAAGTCCTGAAATGACTTTAGGAAATATCGTTTGGTTTGTGGGAATTTCTGAGATATTGGTATAATTTTGTATAGAAATAGAGAGATTGAGAAGAGAAAGGAACATGGAACGGCCCCCAAGTCCACCGCTTTCCCTCTAAAAAAGTGAAAGTCCAATGAGGACAATATTTGCTAGCGGTGAGCTTGGGCGGTTACAAATAGTATCAGAGCTAGACACTGGGCGATGTGTCCGTGAGGAGGTTGAGCCTCGAAGGGGGGTGTACACAAGGTGGTGTGCTAGCAAGGACGTTGGGCCCCATACGAGGGTGGATTGTGAGATCCTACATCAGTTGGAGAGGAGAACCAATAGTCTTTTATATCTTACAAATTTCACTATATGCTCTTATCTATTTTATTATTGTTATTTATTGAACTCATTGCATTTCAAAACAACATTAGTTCGAACCGTTTGTTCTTTTGCTTTTGATTGATTGAGCTTACATTCTTATTTTTATTAACCTTACCAAAAATTTCAAGTTATTTATTGATATTATGTCATATCAATAAATATAATCATATTATTTTCCTAGCACGTAAACCATTTTATGAATAAAAATAAGCATGTTAGAGGCACTTCTGTGTGAATTATTTTTGTTTTAAAAAATGAATATTTAATCAACGAGAAGACAAAAGTTTAGGATATTAAGATTCAAATTTTAAAAATTTATTCATGGGAGTTGTTTAATAATTAATTTATGTATTAAGAAAAGGGGGAAAGAATACAACTAATCATTATATTATCATATATATATATATTTAAAATGGTTAGTTGCATTGTTGTTATCACAGTTTAAAACGAGAATCGCGACACCATGAGTTGGGACTACATCTGCATAAGAGTTATTTTGAGAATAGAATGACGAAGAAATGTTTAAAATAAATGTAAGTTATTACGTATACTAACTTGTGCCTCTTTCTTTTTTGTGGCTCAGTCATAAAAACTTTATGGTTTTAGAGAAATTTTATGCCGGACGGTCTCTTAAGAATTTTTTTGAAATGCACGTGAATGAGAATAAAACATGTTGAAATGATTTGTGATGATTTATGGGGATAGACAAAAAATACTAGGACCATCGTATATATATTCAGCGGGCCACACATTTATTGAAAAAATATAAATTATTGACCAAATAAAGGCTGTTGTTCTCCGATCCCCATTAAACCTAATTAATCACAACAAGATAACTTAAACAAATGCTTAACATTCATTTAATTAAATCCTCAACTGTTCTTACCATTTTTTATATATTCTAATCCCTACCCCTCTTTCAACTTTTTAACTTTTAGCTTCTAAATTATCATATTATATAAAAATATTCATTTTAAAACTTCATTCAAATACTTAACGCTTATATACATATTCAGGTTATTCAGGGTCCATACTTGAAAAAAAGTATTCACTGAACCGACATCATATAATTGTCTCTTAATAACTATTGAATGTGCATTAAAAAATTTGCATACTTCTTAATAGTTAGTGGTACAAATTTGATGTGTATTTTCAGTATATCTCGACACAATTTTAAAACAAAATGAAACATTTTCATAAATTAAATTTTCGATTGAAACAAGTAATAAAAATGTGTAGTAGGGTCAAATAATTGTTCCATGAGAAGTTGAAATGCCCGTAAACTAACTCGAACACTCAAAGAAAGGATTGAAACCCGAAACCCTAATAGATTAAAATATACTTAATTTGAACTTTTTTGAATTCTTTCCACCTTCATATCCTTTGCTTGTTAGTTAGGTGGGAGTGGAAGTGATGATGGGTTTGGTTAGCTATAGGCTATTGGAATCCACGAGCTTTCATTTGTTTTCAAAGCAAAGGGATAAGCTTTTCTAATTTATCTTCAAATTCTTGGCCTTTTGCTGCTTTCTCAAGTCTAATTTCAATGGAATTTGCTATATATATATATATATATATATCACTTTGTACCTCTTCTTTGTCATGTTTTGAGGCTTACCCAGATGCTGTTTTGGGACATTTTGGAAGAAATAAGATTCTTTTTGAAAAAAGATTGTCACTTTAGATGTTTGAAAATGTAAAAAAGTTTGGTTTTTTGAGCTAAAAACGACAATATGAGTGTGTGGAAATGTTTTAATTTGGATTCATAGATAATGTAAAGATTCTAAAGATGGATTCTATTCCTTGTGATAGCACTTACATCTCTTTTTACTCTTTACTTTTCATCTTGTTTTTGTTTTGTGCTCTTCTTTTCTTGCCTTTAATTTGAATTGTCGTATGATTTTAACTTTCGTACAAATGTTTGTGCGTGTTTTCTCGATAGATTAGCCCTCGGGATTACTCAAATGTATGTCGAGAAGATAATTGTTTGTGTAACGATGCATACCCAGAATTTAGAATCTGGATTCTGTACCTGATAGTCCCAACATTCTCCTGCATCTCTTGCTTCCAAGAGTGAAAACTATTCTCACATGCCAACACAAGTTCTTTCCGTATGCTTTATCCTTACTCATATGTTTCTTGCATCAGCACTGGGTCTCGAAGGAAGTGGATTGTGAGATTTTACATCAATTGGAGAGGGGAACGAAGTATTTCTTATAAGGGTGTACAAACATCTCCCTAACATAAGCGTTTTAAAACCGTGAGGCTGACAATGATACATAAAAGCCGAAAGAGGACAATATCTGCTAGCGGTGGGCTTGGGCTGTTACAGAATTGCTCAAAGAAAAACACGCTTAACCTTGTCGTTTCTATAATTGAGCCACGGAAAGGAAGGTTCCGTTGTTGGTATGATTAATAACTTTCCATTCTTTTAAATCTTTTTTAGTCCTCCTATCCTAACGATCGCTCTCATTTAGATGTGGTCTCGATTCATTCATGTACATCTCCTTTACTCGAGTGTCACAATATGAATCTTTAGCTCTCAGTCCCCTCAAGAATTATTGGTTATGTTGACATTATTCTAGTAGCTTAAGGAACAAAACCAAGCCATCTTTTTTATGAAACATTGTCCAAAATGGTCCATTTTGGAAAGCTCTATATGTCCTTAATTGGAACCCATGATGCTCTTTCTTAATTGTTGTCCTCTCCTAACTACCAACCTAATCATAGCGGATATCTCTTGAAAACAATTAAGCTAGTTCCAACCCGATCTAGTTGAGTTAGATTTAGATAATGTTAATTAAAACGATCTAGTTGTTCTTGACAAAGACGGGTAGTTTTAAAGCGTGTCGTTTTCCTATTATTTAATCCGACCTTAATCAGGTTCGTTGTAGGAGTGGTCCATGAAAACGTTGAAGGAATAAAAGAATAAGGGCAAAAGCAAAAGCAATGGAAGAAGATGGCCATGTGTTTTTGGCTTCAAATGTTGTATTATATTACACAAGAGAGGTAGCTTAGCTTGATGCATGTGCTAACTCAATTATATATTCATCAAGTTCTTCCAAATGGGTTCTCTTTTTTCTTTCAAATTCTTTCATTTTCATTTAGTAAGCTTCAAATGGCATTGATCAAAGCCAATAAGTTAGCTTAAAAGGGCTCAAAAAGGGACACTTCTAATCATTTCAAGCTCAAATTTTGGAGCTTTGAGTGCCCCAAAACCCATCTCAAAAGACACCCTTAATGAAGTTAACCCAATGAGTTCTTAGTTCTCCCATTTGTTTATTCACAAAACCCTCCAATCATTTCCTCATAATAATGTTTTCAAATGAGTGCTGACGTTGTATCTGTTGCTTAAGCGTGAGATCTCACACGGTTAGGGAGGAGAACGAAGCATCCTTTTATAAGAGTGTGAAAACTACTCCCCAGCAAACGTGTTATAAAAACCTTGAGGAAAAATCGAAGAGGGAAGAACCTAAATAGACAATATCTGCTAACAGTGGATTTGGACGGTTACAAATGGTACAAGACCCAGACATGGGGCGATGTGCCAATGGAGAATGAGTCCCGAAGGGGGTGGACATGAGACAGTGTGCCAACAAGAATGCTGGACCTCGAAGAAGGTGGATTGGGGAGTCCCATATTGATTAGAAAAGGGAACGAGGTAGACTGGAAGGTCCCACTTTGATTAGAGAAGGAACGAGGTACCATTAATTTAACAAAAAAGCAAAAAAAAGTGGAAACTTTCACGCATGGGTAAGTGACTAAAGAGCAAAACTCTAAGTTCTTCCATAAAAGCTCAACCTTTGAGGTTCTTTTAGTTACTTTCATGGAGGACATCCATCCATCCAACCCTAACTGACACGTAAGCATAACAGAGCTGAGATGTCACTCTCTGATTGGACAACCAATAAGATCAAGAAAAAAAACAGGGCTGAGCTGTCAGTCTCTGATTGGAAAACCATAAGAACAAGAAGCAACAGAGAAATGGGTTGCACGAAACGAGTTAGTGGAAGCAAATGGAATGAGATTATTCTTTTGATGAAAAGCCCAAAGAAAATACAAATCTGAGTCGGATGATAACTTTATTATGAACAAAAAGTAGATACCCTTCGCAGTTTCTGTGTATCTCTGTTTCTCTCTCTGTTTTCTTGTTTATATGTATAAGGCATAATTAATGCCTTCAGTTTGCTGTATTTCCCCTTCTTTTTCTTTTTCTTTCTCTCTTCTTTGCTGGTTTCAACAATGGCGGATCAATTCCCTTTGATGGAAGAACTCAAAAACATCATTCCTAAGGATATTTCATCATCTTCTTCGTCTTCTTTTGAAGAATTCGTCTCTGGATATTACTTTCATGGCGATCCAATTCTCTGGAGCTCCATAGCTCGAGCTTCGTGCTCTGAAAATGGTGATTCTAATGGTAATGATCAATCGAAATCCCCATCTTCTTCTTCTTCTTCTTCGTCGTCTTTTCGACTGTTTTCGAGCGAAAAATCTGAGATTTCTGGTGGGAATCTGATCGAAAACTTTCGAGGAATTCGAAAGTTTGAAAGTAATCTTCACCCAGATGGAGATGGGTTTGTTCCTGTGAATTTCTTGGAGGCTTCTCCGACTCTGTTTCAATCTCGAACAGATTCAACAAATTTGACTCTGTTTCTTCAAGGATCCGCCATTGTTGATCCGTCCCCTCGAAACCCATTTCAAATTCAAGCTCAAAATGGGCTCCAATGGCTGAAGAACAATCAGAATCAGAGCCAAGCAGCCGCCATTGCTGCTGTGTCGTCGAGAAATTACAGCGATTTCTGGCTGGGAACGACGAAGACGCAGCTGATGAAACAGAGTGGGAGAAAACAGGGGAATCACAAAACAGAGTCGACGGCGACGGCGGTTGGGAAGTTGTTTAGAGGCGTCCGGCAGCGGCACTGGGGGAAATGGGTGGCGGAGATTCGACTTCCAAGAAACCGGACGAGAGTCTGGCTCGGGACATTCGACACCGCCGTCGAAGCCGCCATCGCTTATGACACCGCCGCCTATATGCTGAGAGGGGAATTTGCACATTTAAATTTCCCCGACCAAAAACACCGTCTGAAATCCAACTCTCTCAACCGAACCACGGCGGCGCTGCTGGAAGCGAAGTTGAAAACGATCAGTCAAGAGAACACCAGTAGAAAAAAGACTGCCACCTCTACCATCGCCGCGACTACCACCATACCCACCATTGATTCATCTTCTTCAGAGAAGAGATCGAACTTGAGCCAGAATCCGACGAGGATTTCGCCGGAAAACATGTCGGGGAGCGGCAGCAACAATGGCGGATCTGAAACAGGGGAGTTGAAGAGAAACCCGGATGAAATATTTGAAATTGAACAACATCTTCAACTCAGCACAACGCCATCTTTGGACATGGATACGATTTGGGATGCTCTGTTAGTTTCTGATTCATAATTTTCTCTATCCCTTTTGGTTTTTATTATTTCTTTCACTGTTCTTCTCTACTCTATAGGAATCATATGCAATCTTCTTCTTCTGTTCTTCGATTTTTTTGATTTCTAAATGATTTATTTGGAGGAACTTTTTTTTTTCCTATAAATTTTTGAAACCGGATCGGAGAGGAGAACAAATTTTTTTTTTTTTTATGAAGGTGTGGAAACCTCTCTTAACAGACGTGTTTTATAAACCTTGAGTGGCAACGAGGAGGTTGAGCCCCAAAAGGGGTGGACACAAGGTAAGGTGCCAGCGAGGAGGCTGAGCCCCAAAAGGGGTGGACACAAGGTAATGTGTCAGCGAGGAGGCTGAGCCCTGAAGGGGTGGACACAAGGTAATGTGCCAGCGAGGAGATTGAGCTCCGAAGGAGACTGGACACGAAGCGGTGTGCTAGCAAAGACGCTGGCCCTGAAGGGAACGAAGCATTCTTATCCTTGGAATCACTCTTATTCAGACGTAGCATTTGTGTTCATGTACCCTCATTTACTTAGGTATCACAGTCTAAATTTTCAATTGATACACTAATTAGCTTAAAATTCAAACTATATAAAACACGTATGCATCGATACATTAGAGTGACTTACAAGCTGAGCTACCTTATTCGACCTAAAATACAAGAACCCATTAACTCAGATTGAATCGAATCGACACAATTTAAGTTTGTCGACGCAATCAAATACAAGGTCTTATAGAAGGGATCGGTGTTAGGGAGGAGGTGGGTTTCCCATTGCATATTGCTTGGTCCATTCTCTAGCAATCTTAGTGTAATTGAGCCAATTATTGAGGAACATTCTTGAAGCTTCATTAATGGAGCCTTCATCAGGCTCTGGGTTCGATAGAATTGAGCATATGGAAAGCATTAGTGTTTCAATGGTCAATGCTGGAGACCAATTGTCCGTCAATATATCGATCAAAATGGTTCCATCTTCTTCTATGTTTGGATGGAAGATCTGTTCAATCAAACACAAATAGAGTTCGTTCAAATTTTTGGAATGAAAAATTACCCAAATTTTGAGCTGAATTTAAGTTTGGAATGTCGGGTTGCTTTCATATAAGAAACAGCAAAAGAATTTATTCGTTATGTTTTCAACTTCAAAAAGTCGACTCGCGAAATAGGTCTTCAGTTGATGGTATAATCTCAGAAGTCTAGCTCGAGATTTTTTTTATCTCCGAACACCAATACCATATGGAGAATTCTAATAGATTAATTATTTCATTAGCTTATTAGACACAAAAATTTATTCGAAAATTCTACGATTCATAAATTTTAGATTAATTATTTTAAAGATTTAATTGAAATTATAAGAATTTAGATGAGTTAAAATTATGGAAAAATTCAGAAAATATAAGAAAAATAAGAAATGTAAAATGACGAGAATAGACATAACAAACCTTGGTAAGAAACTTGATTAAGGGAGGGCTCAAGGGGTAGTTGGAGGGAAATTGAATGGAAAGGTGAAAAATACCGCCGTCATAGCAAGAAAAGGCCGGCCCAATCACAATCCCTTCGCACCGTAAAATATCCGCTCCGACCGGCCCAAAGCTGCAGTGCGTCGCCGCCGCCTCGTTCATCGCTCTCAACTCGTTCTCAATCCGATACATCGCACTTGTTTTTTCTTCATTGCCACTCCCGTCCCCGCCATCTCCGTCGCTATTTCCACCAGCACGTGGCGGCGAAGCCTCTGGCTGTTTAAAGCCTTCGTCGCCGGTCGGAATCGGCAGATGCTGCGCAGGCATAGGCTGGCCGAAGTCGCCGTGGATGATCGGAACACGAGGCGGTGAATCCTCTGGCTGTTTAGAGACTTCGTCGACGATCGGAATCGGCAGTTGCTGCGCAGGATTTAGATGGCCGTAGTCGCCGTGGATGATCGGAACACGAGGCGGCGAAGCCTCTGGCTGCTTAAAGCCTTCGTCGACGATCGGAATCGGGAGTTGCTGCGCAGGCTTTGGCTGGGCGTAGTCGCCGTGGATGATCGGAACAGGAGGCGGCGGCGGCGGGGTGTGAAAGCGGGTGTAGACGGTGGAAGAGGAGGATTTTGTAGAGAAGCAACAGCAGAGACGGGAAAGAACCATTGGCGGAGATAGATAGATTCGATCGGAATTGCGAAGGGAGGAATTGAGAAGAAGACCGAAAGGCTTAAACGGAGAAAAGAAGGGTAGAAATAAACGTTGACTGACTTGACTTCGAATTGGAAAATTCTGCAAAAGGGTCCCACAAGGGAAAGGTGACGTGTTTTATTTTGATTGGCTTTCACTTTTCATTGCATTTTATTACTAATATAATCAATTTTTTTATTTTAAGATTTTTTTTAAAAAATTAATGTATCTCAGTCATTGAACAATCAATTTAATATTTATTTTACACGGAACCTACGGAACAAATTCATTAAATCTGAACCTCTGAACATTTATCATAATAATCTTCAAAATTATTAATCAACTCCCTAATTGAATAATGATATATTTATTTCCTAACAAGAAAGTTTATCAAATCCTGACCAGGTTTGGCATTAAAGATACATGAATGTTTGTGAAAGTAAAAAAACTGGACTGATGTATCGGGACATGCATTTTTCCGTGACAACCCACGTCTCTCAAACACGCCCCCTCTCGAACTGTAGAATCGCGCACCTGAAACCGAAAATGTAGCAAGAATGAGTATAAAAGTTATACTCAATAGGTAACCTACTTGTAGGCTTTCATCGCATTCTAGGCTTAACAGATTTCCATGGGCTCCTCATTGGCTCTAAGACTCTGGTTCTAATCTTATCCCTTTAGGGCTATTCTAGTTCTCTGTCCTTTCCTTTGAAATCTACGTCGGAGATGTGAATGACTATTATCCCTCTACGAGGCACTACCTCATGCATGGCTCTATGAGGCTATATAGTGTCTTACCTCGGGGTGAGCTGAAACCTCCTAGGTCCATAAAGCCAGTCATTCTCATTGGGGGGGCGCGACCCCTCCCGACCCCTCATCCAGCTTATGGGTTGTACGACGTGGGTCTCTCATTCCCTATGCAAAATGGCTAGGTTCAATCAAACTTCGATTAAAAAAAAACCTCGTTCACACATCTAGCAGCCTAAGGACACTCCTAAGGTGGTTCGTAAGCCATGGTGGTCTAGTAGGCTCCTAGGGGAAAGAAAATTAACATACGTGCTCAACAGGGCGATAACATCCATCAAACACTTAGAGTGTAGGCAATAACATTCATCAAGCACCCAGAGCACAGATCACAAATTCTCATCCTTATTTCAACATGAAATAAACATTCATACAAAGAGGTAAAACATGAAATATACGTTATGCTTCCATGCTATTAATTTTCCATTTCATGGTAAAACTATCCACGGAAAGTAAATATTCTAGCATGCATAGTGACTTACATGATTGACTTACATGATTGACGCGTGCCCTTCGTTCAGCATCCAAACCTGGATAGGGTGGATAGGGAGGTTAACTAGTAGGAAACGCAAGTAGAGAATGAAGGATCCAGTTGAAATGTTGAACAAAAGGCAACCAAAATTTCTTCCCAAAACAAAAGAGATTCTTTACAAGTAATGGAAGGTTAGAAGAAATGAATGGTGGTAAGCTAGAGACAATGAATGGAATGGTGGTAAGCTAGCTACTATCTTAATCTTCTATAATGGCTGTTGCTGTTGGCTCTGCTTCTTCCTTTGCTGCCTCCATCATTATCAATGAATCCCCGACAAAAACTTCCTTGTCTTCTATAATGTCTGTTCTTGTTGCTTCTGTTCCTTCATTTGTCGCCTCCATCATTACCACCGAATCCCCGGCGAAAACCTCCTTATCTTCTACAATGGCTGCGGTTGTTGCTTCTGGTTCTTCATTTGCCACCTCCATCATTACCACCGAATCCCCGGCGAAAACTTCCTTATCTTCTATAATGGCTGCTGTTGTTGGTTCTGGTTCTTCATTTTCCGCCTCCACCATTACCATCGAATCTCCGGCGAAAACTTCCTTATCTTCTATAATGGTTGTAGCTGTTGGTTGTGGTTCTTCATTTGCAGCCTCCACCATTACCATTGAATCCCCGGCGAAAACTTCCTTATCTTCTATAATGGTTGTAGCTGTTGGTTGTGGTTCTTCATTTGCAGCCACCACCATTACCATCGAATCCCCGGCGAAAACTTCCTTATCTTCTACAATGGCTGTTGGTGTTGGTTCTGGTTCTTCATTTGCCACATCCACCATTACCACTGCATGCCCGGCGAAAACTTCCTTATCGTCCTTGACCGTGCTACTCTCTTGTATAATGGCTGTTGCTGTTGGTTCTGGTCTAGTCTCGCAGCGTTCCTCCTCAGCCAAGACGTTAACATCCACATTGCCAACTCCTTGAGGTGCTGCTGCACCTTCTTCTTCATCGTCGTCGTCCTCCTCTTCCTCTTCTTCCTCCTCCTTATCTTCAACATAAATTGTATCATTATACGGCATATGAGGAAGTTCGCCACCCTCGGTTTCTTCGTTTTTGTCAGCAGCATAGACCATATTCAGGTCTGTCCCAGGAAGAAGCTGCTGTAATGGCACTGCATGACTGATGATTTGGCCTGTCCTCAGCTTCTCTCTGTAATTCTCCATCTCAATTCTGTATCGTTCTTTATCTTTCATAGCTTTCTCCTGATAAACCTGCAAGTAAAGAAAAAACTATCAACACCGGCTGTGACAGATTCTAAACTAAAGAGGTATTGCAAATCCTTACTGTTTTTTCAGTCTCATTAAGTTTATTCCAAAGCTCACCAATCATTCTGCTTATCTCCCTGTCCTTCCCTGGGTGTAATGGTTTGAGTCTAGCATGCTGCTCGGCGAAGAAGAAATTGTAGCCACTTCTATTCGGCTTTGGATGAGCTGGATCCCTTCGTTTGATCTCGGATTTCTTCCTCCGACGACGGCGCTGAGCACTTGGTGTAGTGGAGGTAGTACCATCTTTGGTGAAAACACTACCAGGCTGGAACACTTGTTGAGCAGGTTGCTCTGGAGGAGTCATATAAAGCACACCTTTTAGCTTCTCATTTCCTACAGTAACAGTAACGAGATATCCGCTTTCAAATTTTCCATCAATGACTCCAACCACCGGAAACCCTCCCGCTGGTGGTACCGAACTCGGAGCAACTGTAAGTTGAAAAGAGTTATCTATTTATGAATCAGAGAAACTAAGTGTACTTATATGGCATATCATACGAACTCGTAAAGAAGACACCTGCTGGAAGTTCGGTTGCAGTAGTCTGTGGCTGCTGCTGGGGTGCTGGCCGATTGGATGGCGGCAACATAGAGGTCATCGTCCCTTGTGTCGGAATTGGCACTGCACTTGGGGTTGGAGAGGAATCTGAAAGATTGTTATGTTAGAATATGGCATGTTCTTCAGGAAAAAGAAGGGTGCTCTATTTTAACAAAGGGTACCAGAAACTTTTGGTGTCCATCCCACGGCTTTAAAGAAGTAAATCTGTTCAAAATGATGAATTAATGAGAGATAATACTTCCTCAGCACAAAAGATGCATTGGTGGCTGTCGAAGGAAATTTGAAAACTGAAGTTACTTCTTTCCATCTTCTCTCTCTTATAACCTGCCAAATTTTCAACAGATGTTAACTAGAACGATTAAACTTTTATCCATTCCCCTAACGAGCTGTGCATAAGATTTTGTGAGATTCCACATGAATTGGAGAGAGAAACAAAGCATTCTTTATAAAGGTGTGAAAACCTCTCCCTAGCAGACGCGATTGAGTGAAAGCTCGAAAGAAAAATTTCAAAGAAAACAATATCTACTAGCAGTGGGCTTGGACTTTTACAAGCGGTATCAGAGCTAGGTTCCACGCGGTGTGTCAATGAGGATGCTAAGCCCCGAAGGTGGGTGGACACCGAGCGGTGTGCCATCGAGGACATTGAGCCTCAAAGGGAGTGGACACTGGGCGGTGCGCCAGCGAGGACGCTGGGCCTTGAAGGGAGGTCAACACCGAGCAGTGTGCCAACGAGGACGTTGAGCCCCTAAGGGGGTGGATTGTGAGATCTCACATCAATTAAAGAGAGAACGGAACATTCTTTTACAACCCAAACCCTTTTTTCAGAAAGGATTATAGCATCAAAACTGAGTACTTGAAGAGTAAAAAACCACAGCCTTCTAATCGTCTGACTTCTAAATGAATGAAAAAGCTGGAAATAGACTCAAATAAACACCTTATATATGTCCTCTAAATATCAATCAACAAGTTTCAGAAATGAAAATATTGATCACAATATTCATAGCAAGTCTATTTTACCTTCTCAAGGCCACCACGAGCAGTGACCTCCACGAAAAGCCGATGCAGGTCCAGTTCTTTCCCACCAATAATGGGGATCCTGCATTGCGGAGGTAAAAGTGAAACATAAGAAGTGCATGAACTTACAATGCAGGTAAAAGAGGAGATTTTGAAGAAAAGTACATGAACTTGGTTCCCATAATAGAATGGAGCTTTTCCAAGGACGCCATAAAGAGCTTGGGATCGGCTATGAGATCCTCATACGTCGTTTGCGGTGGCGGGTATGGAACACAGTTAGAAGGAGCTTCAACCACGGCCAGTTGCTTCCCCCCAGCAGAAGAAGTCGATGTCATGGTCAACTCCTTCTTGCTATCCCAGCCTGCTTCAGTTCTTTCCTCTTCTACCATCAACCGATGAACTCTGCAAGCACATATCTCTCAGTGTTATACAAAATTTGAAGACAACACTACAGCAATAAAAGGTTGAACAAATCTCAAATGAGAGGCCTTTTGAATCATAATGATGTTAGGAACTAAGGTGGAAGTAGAAATGGAGAGTGTGTGATACTTACATCTGATTAATTCAATAGTAATGGGTACATGTGAAAAATGATGAAATAAATGAATCTACCCCAAATCCCCATGCCTAAAGTTGGGAAAAGATGTGAACCATTGTCTGTCTAAAGGTTTTGAACGACAAGAAACCCCCAGAATGTATAGTAATTGTGCTCGCTCTTAAGGGCAGAAACGTTAATGTATTATACACCAAGCTCACCGCTAGCAGATATTATTCTCTCTGGGTTTTCTCTTTCAACATTCCCCTCAAAGTTTTTAAAACGCGTCTACTAAGAAAATGTTTCCATTCACTTATAAAGAATGTTTCATTCTCCTCCTCAACTAATGTGGGATCTTACAATTCACCCTCCTTCGGGTCCTGCGTCCTCACTAGCACTCATTCCCTTCTCCAATTGACGTGGGACCCCCCCTAATCCACCCCCTTTGGGGCCCAGCATCTTTACTGGCACACGGCCTCGTGCACACCGCCTCATTGACACATCGCCCGATGTCTAACTCTAATACCATTTGTAACAGCCCACCACTAGCAGACATTATCCTATGGGCTTTCCCTTTCAAGCTTCCCCTCAACGTTTTTAGAACACATCTTCTAGGGAGAGGTTTCCACACCCTTATAAAGAATGTTTCATTCACCTCCCAACCGACGTGAAATCTCAATTTGTAATGAATGTCATAGGCCAACAAAATGAACAGATGCAACAATGATATGCCCCAGATGGATGGAGAACTATCAGTGACTTCTATTCAGTCTACCTTACATCCAAGAAGTATCAATAGCCGTTGAGTATGCAATGTTATTTACTCATTCAACAATGAAAGCTGAAGAATGCCCTGAGAATATGGGTATTACATACTTGAACCATTAAACCATACAATACCAACAGAAAGGCAGCTCACAGGAAGGAAAAAACCAATCGAGAAAATCAGACAGAGACCTCTATAAACAGCTTTGATCTTCTCCTCCAGTCACCAAGATAATCTTCCCACAATTCCCTTTATATAGCATACAAACAGAAACTTCATGGAGATTCATAACCCATGCAAAGATTGAATTAACTCTACACCGCATGCAAAGATTCATAAATGGCCAAAAACAACAGAAACCTCAAGGAAATTAGAAGTTCAGAACTGAGATAACAAGAAACACCACAACTACCTGAACAGATGAAATAACTCCAAGTAATAAGGTAGACATTCAAAGACCCAAAAAAGAAAATGGCTCAGCAGCAAAGCTGCCACAGCCATGAATTGATCTCAGAGAACCAAGGGGGCTGAACCCAAGGAACTAGAAAAAAGGAGCTAGAAAAAGGAGGCTAAGAGAAGCGCCATTGCAATAAATCCCTCTCACAGGGAAAGTTTCAGGCCTACTACAGAGCTATTGACGTTTCCCTGACATTCCAAAGATATCTAATGGGTATTAAACAATTGTCTCCTCTATATTGACAAAGCCAAAAAGCACTTTTCCTTCTTCTTCTTCTTCTTTTCTTCTTCTTCTTCTCCCTATTTCCCCATTATCTGACACCATATCAGATTTCAAAACTTGCAGATTTCTCAAGAAACCATTCATTAAAATAAAGAAACCCCACATTGAAAAACACGAATCAGAGCAGAAACAAAGTAGAAATTAATGGTTACTAAATCCGTATTATTCAAACGAATTATGAAAATGCAAAATGCAAACAATCCAGATGATGAAATGACAAAATAAACAGTCGTTTTTTTAAAAAAAAATTCATGAAAGGATACTTACTTTAGAGATAAAGGGAAGAAAAGATGAATGGAAAATTCATAAATGCCCAAAAAAAGAAAAGAATAGAAAGATTATGAAAAAGAAGAAAGGATTAGAACTTACCATAACCAGTGCTAATTAAGAGGACATTGATGCGATAGAAAACCAAGAACAAGAAGTAACCGAGAGCATTGGATGAAGGAGAAGGGCAAATTAGGAATTGAAAAATACGAAAGTTATGGAGGAAAATGAGGAATACGTTATGGCGGGGCGTTCGGGTTCGTTCTTCATCCTCAAAACTGTTATTAATTGTATTTATAACCTTTTTTTTTTCGGTTTTTTTCTTTTAAATTTCATTATTTTGGTATTTACTTTATTAATTCATTTTTTTAAAACTACATACTAAAAAAAATTCATTCAAATTTTTTTTTAATGATTTAATTGGTTTTTTTTTTTCATAATTCATCAAAACCGTTTTTTTTTTCCTTGTGAAATAATATTAAATATAGTTTTTAAAAGAATTTTTATAGTGATAATAAATGTAAAATTAAGAGGACCACATTTATTGAATTTTTTTTTTTAATATTGGTCGAGAGGAAATTAATATTTTTTTAAGGTTCAAATTCGATAGAAAATACATATGTTATCATCTAAATTGAATGTTTTTATTTTTACCGTGAAACAAAAAAATAATTAAAATTTTCGAGATATATCAAGCTAGGTTTATGACAACAACAAAATTATGGTTTTTTTTTTTTTTTTTATTGTCCACTTTGAATATATGCTTTCATGGCTTTGCTTTGAGATTCCCCAAAAAGTATCGTACCAATAGAGGGAGTATTCTTTGATTATAAACTCATGATCATTCCCTAAATTAGCCGACGATCATGGAAGTCGGCTCAAGGTTGATGTGTTCACCCTGAGGATTTGGGCCCTTGTAAACCTTTGGGCCTTTTCTCAGTTTACCCATCAAAGCCCAGTGGGCCTACCCACGAAAGCCCTTTTCTTTATTATCGGTTCAAAATTGGTTTTTATTTTTAATTTCAATTTCATGTTCATATATTTTAGAGTAATTGATTAGAGATTTTTAACTTTTTTTTTAATTAAATTTTCAATAAATTGGGTGAATAATAATAATATTATTATTATTATTTATCTTTCTTATAATCAAATATTTCATTGAATTAAAAAATTATTTTTTTTAAATGGATTTGACCAAACTTTTGAAATGATAATAAATATATATATATTAATTTATTATAAAAGTTTTTTAAATCATTCCTGAATGTCGTATATTTTATATCAGTTGAGTTATGCTCCTCCTAACTATAAATTGTTTTTTTTTTTTTTTTACAACTTTATCTCATTTAGGTCGTATATTTAGAATCATTCAAATTTCATAAAATCTATTTTGTTTGTGCAGTGATTGAAATCTTAAACAAAATCTATGTCTTAAAAGACATTCGATCAACAAAATAATCCAAAATTTATTTTCCCTCAAAATGGTTTTTGTGCAGTTATTTTCCCACAAAATAATCCAAAGTCTTATTTTTCAATAAATAATTTAGATCAAGTTCTCGAAATGAAATCATCTTGATTTGAGGCTTTAGCGTTTGTGATCCATGAGTTTTTATATCCACAACGTTCACGAAAGTTCTTAGATCTAATTGAGTATGATTTTTATGTCAAAATTATTTTTAAAAAATTCGAAAATTCCCGATTATTTAATAGAAGATAAGTTAATAAAGTTGATGATTGTACAAGAGAAACAAAAGAAAAAAAAAAGAAGCTTTAAGGATATCAAATGGATTGATTTTTTCATACAAAATTCCAACAATATCTTTTTTATGTCTGCACGAGGAGCAGCAACGTTGTCTTCTTGTTCTTTTTGTGTTCAAATTTCAACGCTGCAAAACCCTAAAAGTTGAATACAACCACTCACAAAAGGACTTCAAAAATAATTATAAATCATAAAAGGATCATTGTGGAAACTATCGTAAACGGTGGAAAACCAAAAACCCCACCTTGTTTTTTTCACGAACGCACCAAAATTCGAAACAGTGACAACAATCGTTGAATGAAAATCACCTAATTGAACAACTTACGTGCACATAGACAACAATATTGTCTATCAGGTTGACACAAATTACCCTGATCGATACTTGACTCACAGTTTAAGCATCGATCAGGGTAATTTGCAGGCACATTCAATCTCGTTCTTCTCGAGACATACAAAATTCAAAAAAGTAAGTAGCTAGCGTAAATGGGCAATAGTCATTGAATGAGTATCACCTACTCGAGCAACTTACGAGCATATAGAAAAACACGATTTTTTTTTTTACATCTCTATGGTATTGAACCACTGAAGCTTTCCTTAATCAAATATCTAAGAATAATATTAAATTTAAAAATAAATTAAATTTCAAACTCATTTGGTGGGAAAATTAAATTTATATTAATAAATATCCAAAAAAAAGAAAAATGGGTAAAAATAATATTTTAAAATTTTGTAATTGAAACATTTGGTTGAACAGTTAAACCTACCCTTTTTTAAATTAAAAGAAAAAATCTTAATGGCTAATGAAAACAAAAGTCAATTATTTACAAAAATTTAATTAATGATGATAAATATATATATATATATATATATAATAATATATTATATATTTAAGATATTCCTTATTATTAAGTTTAATGGAGGGATAATTAATTTATAATATAACTATTTTTTTATATTTTTTTAACCGTGGTTATTTTATTTGGGAAAAAGACAAAAATTAACAAAGGTTGGTTGAAGGGCTTTCATCTCCTTCCCACTACAGAGAGTAAAGACAAATGTGTTTTTAAAATTAAATAATATATTTTGCTTAAAAAATAATTTAAAAAATGCATTTATTTTTATTATATTATTAAATATAAAGAGTAGGTAACCCAACTCCAACTTTCAACCAACATAAAGCAAAAGCAATTGTGAACTTATAAAATAAATGCTTCAAAAATAAAATAAAATTTTATTTTTCTTTTCAATAAAATTCATTTTTAATTAAAATATAATTAATTTAAGCATTCTCACGTTACGAGACTATTAACAAATGTGGAGTTGACAACATACGTAACGAGCAAAAGCGGACAATATCTACTAGTGGTGGACTTGGGGTATTACAGTCACATCTCTCAGTCATCCTATTTTCATGATCGCTCTAATTTAAATGTGATTGATATATTCTTTCTTTGAACGAGCCCTAATCGCTACCCTACTTAAGTGATCAAAATTAGACATGTGTCAACTCGATTTACGTTTAAAACCCGAACACAAGTAGATAACAACGGGACATAATATCTCTTAGTTTTGCTTTTAATTCATGTATATTTTTAAATCTTTGTTCGTTCGTGAAAGTTATAGTGTTGGTAAGCAGTTGAAATATACTTAATTTATTATTTATATTAAATAATTTCCATATTGTTTCTCGTGAAAAATGGGGGCATTAATTAATATAAATATTATTCAATGTATAGAATTTTGTCACGCTGTTTGAACATTCTCCCACAAATCATTGAAATTAAATATAAAAATTGAATGAAATAATTAAAATCAATAAAAAAAAAAAAACAAAACTTTACGCGTAGCTTTGATTTGTATTTTATGAGCCAAACTTTGGTATATAATTATTTTAAATAATGGTTGGAGGGACTGTGACAGTTAGAATGAAGGCTGACAGTCAGGATCCACGCAATGAACGGTTGTGGTTGGACCGTGATAAACGTGACTGTACATGCAGGAGGATAAGTTTCTGACAGCCGGGTAATCCGCCATTATTTAGTCAGCCGTTTTGGACCGGACCGCTTTCCCATGTGGACCGTCTTCCTTTGACTTTTACTTTCCTTAAAATTAAAAGCTTGTCATGATGATTTAAATTGTTTTTAAATAATACTTATTAAATAGTTCGAGCTACTCCAATTCCACGTCATTATCTTTAAATTTTTATTTTTTAAGAAAATAATATTAGATTACTTACACGGTTTTATTTTTTAAATTTGGTTAAGAATTCAAATATTTCCGTGAAAACTATAGTAGAGACATCGTGAGGAAATAAACCGATTATCCAAAAATAAAACTAAAATTATTATGAAATAGAGTGTTTGAGCGTTTTATGTTCATTTAACGTGATTCTAGTGTGATGTTGTACTCGACCCGACACATAAGTTAAAATGCTAGTTTGATTATGTCATTTACATTGGCGTTTTCGACTTGATATATAGTAACGCGTTTATTTTTGTTAGTTGATTCACTCTTTCGAAAATATAAAATTTTAAGTGTAATTATTTAATTAAAATGGAATGCGTATAAGTTTGGTAAAAAGAACAATGACTCGGACACTTATTTGTGAATAATTTTAGGATCAGAATTTAGAGTCTAGATTTCGTATTTGATAGCCTCGATATTTTTCTATGACATAATTACATTACTATCTCTCGATTTTAAATGTGAAGACTATCCTCACAGAGGAACACAAGTTTATAATTTGATATATAAAATTATTATTTTTTTTCGAAATAAAAGGTAGTATTAATAGTTTATTAGATGTTTCGTTCAAATAAAAATTATAAACGCGTTATTATTTTCCATCTCTCCAAAATTGCCCATAGTTTTAACATATCATTATTATTCTTATTATTATTATTTTGAAGTAATTTTAGTCAAATAAACAATCATTTACCTTCACAATTTTGTTACCGTAAATAATATGGATGAAAATCGATTACTTCCAAAATTTTTAATTTTATTTTTGAAAGTTAGAATTTTTGAAAGGTAATATTAATTGGTAGAAATATTTTTCTTATTTTATTTTAAAATTTTTGGAGCTTTTTTAAAAAAATTAAGAAGATATTTACGGTTTTCTGGT